TGTGTGGATTAAATTAATGTGTTTTGCTTTACCACTTAAACTGAAAAATTTTAGATAATTTTATGCTGCAGATGCCAAGGTTGAGATAAGATGTTTCTGTCTCTTAAAAACAACATATATATGTAGGCTAGCATTAACATAGGTAAGTTCCAGGCCTCATTTGTAAATTTTTATTTAAATTTTGAGATGTATACACTGTATTCATGGCTAGTCAGTGTAGGTCATACCACAGAGTAGACATCATTCAATTTGATTTTATTTTGTCAAGATAAATTGGAGTTAAATTTGTAGTTCTTTCTGTGAACTCATCAATGGATATTTCTGTTGTCATGGCTGAAGTAATTACTTGTTTTGATGGCTCTGATATTCAAGTACTTATTTTGCAGTCAAAGGCTGAGAGTTATTCTTGAATTGAAACATGAAAAATGTCTTTACCTATTATTGCCATTGATATTGCATTGTCTTATGAATTATTTTTTTTTGTATCTGATGAAAAGCTAAGATAAAGAAAGTTGTGTCTGATGGATATTTTTCTTTTTATGTAACATCCTCAAGGGAAGGCAATTCATTTATGAAGAATGTAAACTGTTCCATTAAAAAAATTTTTGTAACAACCTGAATTTATTGTAAGTTCTATTTAACTATCTGTTTCATTAAGGTCAAGCACTTGAATTTGTTTAGCAACCTCAATTTACTATAAGTTCTATCTACGCCATTTCTAATTTTTCTGCTAGCTGCATTGTATTATGTCCTAGACCTAGTTTCTTGCTTTTTCTTTCTCATTTCGCTCTGTGCACTCACCAAAACTTTGTATTGCTCTCAGCCTTGATTAACTAATAAAGATTTTTATTGTTATGAGATTCAGTTAATTAAAGTGTAATGGAAATTGGGAAAGTAGTTAATGCAGGTCTTATGTGTTTCTGTTATATTCAGGTGTCCAAGGTGATTGTGATACTGTGTGTCTCTGTCTATTCATGCTCGATACCATTGCTTTTTAAATTTTATTTGCCATTTAGCGTTTATTGCATTGGCACTCTTATTTTAGTTGTTTTAATTCTTTTTTGTTCTTTTTGAAAGCCTCCTGATTCTTTTATTGATTTCATCACAGCTTCTCCTTTGATATTTTTGGTGGATCACTACAGAAACGGGGAAAACTCACCTTGTCACAGAGTGGTACATTGTCTGCCATAACCACTTCACTTGGCTGTATATTGCTGCTCTTAGAAACTTGGACACTTTTTGGTGATACTACAAAAGGTTTGTTCAGTCTGAATCATTTCGAATATCTCTAAAATATGGAGCTCTCTTAACTGAATAATGAATTTCACTTACTCTTTTAAGGATATAATGACTCAAGCTGCCTGTTCTTTGGGATGCTAATCAACAAAGATTGTCTGGGTGTAGTTCCTCTTTGAACCAACAAAGAATGACTGTTGCCTTGGAAAGAAATTCTTTAGGTATACCATAATCTTTACGATAAGTTTAGATTGGAGAAAGAAGTCTATAGATTCAAATCAATTTTTTTTTTTAAATATAATATGAAAATCTGACACCCATTGGATTTATTGACTGGGAGTTTTAGTATGGAAATAAGACACCACTAGTTTACCCACTGAGTGCATTTATTAGATTACTATTGCTAGTTCATGTGCTTTTAGTTATTGTGTACTGTTTCAGCAATCATTGATATAATCCTCCTCCATTAGTGGAAATTGAGGTGATTCCTTATATAATTAGCCTGCTGCTTGCAGATAGATTCTATAGAAGTGCTCCAAATGGTCTAAAGTCTTGAATAATTTTCGGCTACATGATTTCCAAAAAAACATAATTTAATAATACAAAAGTGTTATTTCCCTGTTTCATTTTTAGTTATTCTGCTCTCTTTTCCAATGAATAATGGAGACTTTCTAAATTTATTCTGGTATTTGAATTCAGTTGCTTTCATTGTCAGCCAGTTTGTGTGGTCACCATAGGAGACGATGCTGTGATTTTAGCTTTCAGGTGAGTAAGTTTGTTGTGTTTTGTGATAATATAATATGCAGCTCCTTTCAT